CGGAGTGCAGTGATGACAGCGCGGTGCGGGCCACATTGCAAGGCCTGGCGGGACGGATTTGGCCCGCGGGCCTTGTGTTTGACACTTGTGCTCTATTTTAATGGTTTCTGGGTTTTCGGATACTTGGGTAGATGGTTGAATTGTTGAGGTTTTGCACAATCTTTCATGCTCTTTGGCCAAATCAGAACTCTCTTTAAGTTAGACCATTCTGAAAAATGGGAATAAAAGCTACCATAGACCCAGAGCTACCATGAGTGGGGCCTGGTGCTCCATATGCATCAATTCATTCAAGCTTCACAGAGAAGCCAGGGACAGGTGTTATCACCATGATCTCCTTCCACAGTTAGGCACAGAGACACTAAGTAACTCAACTGAGGTCACACAGCAACAAGGGGCAGAACCAAACGTTTCACACTGAGATGAAATTCACGTTCCTAAGTCCAGTGCTATGCTGCTATTACCCCACCCGCACAGCTGCCACTGCCCTCACGGTTGCGGCTGCCAGTCTTGAGTCCTTCTGGAAGGAGATAGTGGCAGGGCCTCTCGTTACCATGTTTGGGCTCCCACAGCCTGCCTTGGGACTACTCTGTGCTAATTGCCCTAAGTCAGGGTGTTGCACTGTTCTCTGTGAATGCCTTCCTCTCATCCCCTGACCAATTCCTGCTCATCTATCAGTTTTCAGCAGAGGATTATCTACCACAGCCCCCTGGGTCAGTCTGTTGGAGCTGGGATCATTACATGTGTGGGTCGTCCATTCATAATCTATTGTAACTTCTGGGTAGCAAGGATAAAGTCAAGCCTTCATCTGTGTATTCCCAGATTAGCACGCACAGAGCCTAGCATGTAGTCAGCACTTGGTGAATCATTGTCCAGTGGCTGAAAATTGAGGGCAAATGTGTAGGACCCTGACCATGTCGGTGTTTCCTGTAATCTAGGATGAAAAAAAGCAGCTTGAAAATAGAAATCTCTTGACCTTCCTGTATAGAAAAACATGGCCTACCTCTAGATATATGTACACTTATTTTAAATGACCAATTTTAAGCCTGAATTCTTTGAAGACTAAATTGACCACTTTTCCAGAGCTACTTGCTAAAAACTGTCTTTTCATAATTATACTGGTTTGAGCATTTATTAAGTCTTAAATTCAGAGTGATGGAAAGGCCATCAGCATTGCACTTAAACTAGACTGACATTTGAATTCCAGCTGTGCTGGTTAGATCTGCTTGGGCAAGGTGCTGCAGCTGTGAGCCTTCATTTCTTCATCACAGCAGGGGAGTAAAATGGCTGCCTCACAGATGGGTCATGAAGATTAATTATGAAATGCCTGGGGTGTAGGGAACTCAGAAAATGTAAGAGAGATGTGGAATATCAATCTAAAAAGTTTTCTTCATTTCTTTTATTTATTCATTGACTTATCCATTTAATCATTAATTCATACAATCTATCAATATTTCTTGAGAACCAGTGCTTCATTCAGCAGGTTGAAAAAGGCTGAGGATTAGCAGCACAAACATGGTCTTATGTTTGTGTGTCATGGGGCTTACCGTATTTTCCAGCGTATAAGACGACCCCCTAATTTTACAGTTAAAACATAGGTTTGGGCCTATATTCGCTGTATAAGACTACCCCCCACTTCCGAGGCAACACCAGTTCTTTTTTTAATAGACCGCCTCTCTGACTCTGGCCAATCTGAGCAGGCTTTTTACTAGAACACAGTGTACATGCTCTGTACCCGAAGCTACACTGTGTTCTAGTAAAAAGCCTGCTCAGATTGGCCAGAGTCAGAGAGGCGGTCTATTAAAAAAAAGAACTGGTGTTGCCTCGGAAGTGGGGGGTAATCTTATACAGCGAATATAGGCCCAAACCTATGTTTTAACTGTAAAATTAGGGGGTCGTCTTATACGCCGGAAAATACGGTATGTTTTGGTGGAAGAGGCAGTCAGTGAATAAGTAAACAAATAAAATAATTACAGCCCACAGTAGATACTAAGAAGTATCCCTTGTGGACACTAAAGCATAAAGGGAGCTAAAGTAGAGATAATTTGGGGGTGGAGTGGGGTGATTAGTTACAGCTTCTCCGGTGAGCCACATGTGAGTAAGGCCTAAAGGATAAGAAGGAAGGGGCCACTTCTAAGGAGAGCTGGGGAGAAGGTGTTCAGGTAGAGATTACAGCACATGCAGAGGCCTCGAGGTAGGGATTTTAGGGATAGCCAGAAGGTTAGGAGGCCTTGAAAAATTAGTGTCATGTAAGGTTGGGAAAGTGGGCAGGAGTTCATAGGTCACCCCTTACCAGAGTCCAGGGGATAGAGCAATAGGCCTCTGTGGGGCAGCTAATACAGGAAGATTGATTGGCAGGATGTGGGAGGAAAAGTGGATCTGCGAGTAAAATATAGATGTGAGAAGCATCACCCAGGAAGTGAGGACTCAGGGCTGGGCAGGTCCATCAGGGGCATTTGGGATGCTGCTCCTGAGCACAGCCATTCTGCAGGCAAAGAGAGCGGTCTTGGGAAAATTGAGTTCGCAGGGAGGATCTGATGGCCCAGGAGGGCTGGCTAGAAGCAGAGCAGGATCTTACTGCCAGGGGAACAAGCAAACTTGGCAGGAAATGGGCCTGGTGGGGTTGAGGAAGATAGAAGCATAGTTACTCATCCCAGGATGTAAGGTGGAGACCTGATCACCAGGTGTGAGGCACCAGCTCAGAGCTCACCAACAATCTGTGTGCTTCACCTCCTTCCTGTCCCTCCAGCCTCACATTACAGCAAGCTCCCTCTCATTGTCTCTACTCGCCCTCACTCTCGATGCTTCTCTGACTTTCTGCTCATCAGGCTCCTCTATCACGGGGCATTTGCACATATTGTTCCCTTGGCCTGGAACACTATTTCCAGCATTGTTTACTCAGCTAACTCCTTCACCCTCCACTCATCACTTCCCAAGTGACCTCTTTTCTGGCAGCCCTGATTGAGCAAACTCACAATTTAAATGGTCTCATAATGCCTTTATGACACTAGGCCCATTCTGTTTCCATTTAATTTTATTTGTGTAATTATTGGTTACTGTCTGCCCAGTGTAAGCTCCAAAAGGGGAGAAATCAAATCTGTTTGTGCTCACCTGTATATCCCCCAGTGCCTAGTGCAGTGCCAGTGCTAATAATTAATACAGTAATTAATGAGCAAATTAATTACTAATTTACCAATTGCTGGCGTGGTTCTTGAGTAACTACCCTGTTTCCCCGAAAATAAGACAGTGTCTTATATTAACTTTTTTTCTCCCAAAGTTGCACTAGGTCTTATTTTCAGGGGATATCTTATCTTTCCATGCGCTAGGTCTTATTTTCGGGGAAACCCAGGTAGCTTAGACCACAAGTCCTCAAAGGGTAGTGGTAGAATCAGCACCATCAGCATCTCCTTGGAACTTTTAGAAATGCAAATCCTTGGGCCCCACCCCAGAGCAACTGGAGCTAGAAGGAAAAGGGGTGGACACCTTATGACACGTTACAATTTGTGCTTTAATGAGCCCTCTGGGAGATTGCCATGCACACTTTCGTTTTTGATCCACTGGCCTAATGCCCTCGATCTGAACTTAGGGATGGGACTTAAAAGAACACATCTGGGTAGATAAAAGCTATATTAGGCTGAAGCAAAACTGATAATTTTGGATAAGCCTTTGTCATGGGATGGATTTTTAGGCTGAGGGTTTTGAATGGCATTTGCACATTAAGGCTTGGCTGTCCATAATGTCTGAACTCAAGCGATGCCCATGAAATTTCCTAGTTAGTGACATTATGGACACAGCTGTTGACATGTCCTGCAGTGCCTAAATTTTGCTGGGGGTGAGGGTGGTGACTGAAAAACTTAACCGTGTGTGAAAACAAGGCAATCATGCAAAACTCACACATCTGAGGGAACACTATTTTCTGAGCAGAGCAGGGCCCAGCCACAATTGGACGCTTTGTGAGCATAAGTATTTTTCCTACCATCTTCAGAGTTCCCTCCTGCATAATATCTTATATTGGTGGAAGCCCAGTAGATGTTTGTTAAATGCATGTGTGAGTGAGTGAATCTGTGAAGGTATAAATAAATGAATGGAAGAAGGGATCTTCTTCCTACCGTGTTTCCCTGAAAATAAGACATCCTTCGAAAATAAGACCTAGCGCATAGAAAGATAAGACATCCCCTGAAAATAAGACCTAGCGCAACTTTGGGAGAAAAAAATTAATATAAGGCACTGTCTTATTTTCGGGGAAACAGGGTAATAGAGTACTGCCTAACAGAGTACAAATGGTGGATTCTCCCTACCGCTATAGGAAGATCCTCTCCTTTTAATTCTCTTCCTCTAAGACTATATTTTTGATTGAACCTGGGGATTGGACAAATGGAAATTTGCAAATTAAATTAACCTGATTTTTATAATTTCACTGAAGAGAGAGGGGGAGAGGGAAGAAAGCCAATTCCCCTGAGACCAGAAGCCCCAGGAAGACAGAGAACATGGTTTTGTTCACCACTCTATCTCCAGCACCTTGGACAGAGCATGGCACATAACTTAAGGTCCACAAATATGAATTGTTGACTGACTGATTTATGGGGTGATCGTTATGTGGCTGGCAATGGACCGAACATTTCATTGGTCACCTCATTTTATTTTTACCACATGCCAGCTCCACTTTACAAAGGAGAAAGCTAAGGCCCAGAAAAGCTGAGGGAGGCAGCTCGATACAATGTAGACTGTCTGACTGTGATGTTCATGCTCGTTCTCTAGCCCAGGTTGGTTTTCTGTATCAGCCACCAGCCAGATTCTAGGCTCTCTCCAGTTTTACGAAATTGCATAGCTGGACTTAGGAGGATAAATGCATCTCTGGGGTTTCTGCCTTATTTACTGCTATTCCCAAGAGCTCTTAATCTTCCTGATTCTGGGAGTAATCCGTATGACACAGGAAGGGAAAGGGATTGACAGTTTGGTCCCTGACTGGTTACGGTACTGTCCTTTGTGTTCTCGCCATTCAGAATCTCTGCGGAAGGAGTGGACATTGTTTTGGATTGCCTCTGTGGGGACAACACCGGAAAAGGTCTCAGCCTTCTCAAACCCTTGGGAACCTACATTTTATATGGTGAGTGCTGAACAGTAGTGGGGGACATGCTCGCCAAACACTGCTCAGGTGCTTACAGACAAAGGCTCTAAAAAATGAAATGTGTTGCTGTTAGGGCAATGCGGTTGGGGTGTTTACTTTTTTGATGTGTCCCAAAATATTGCTGTTGGCATTAGTTGTTTTCAGTGATAAAAGTGACATATGCCCTGTTTCTCCCAGGAGTACTTCTTATTCCAAAAGAGATCAAGCCAAGCCAAACCAATGTAGTCACTGAAATGGGACTTGACTCACAGAAAGTGGCACAGGTGGGAAACCAAGAAAGGACCCACAGTAGGATGGAGGAGTGGCTGTTATATCGGGGTTTTAAAGGCAGTTCTTCAGTATTAGAGATGAAGCTACAAAAAGAAATCAAACAACAGACTATCCTTTGTCTAAACTACCTTTGTATGTCCCAATCAAGATAGAAGCCCTGGGTAGATGGGGAACAGACCTGCTTCAGCATCTTGTGTTTGGGAGGATTTATGAAAGACAACAGGGAGCAGGTTTTCTCTAGCAAGAGTGAGACCCCCAGAGCCCCTCCTCTCTTCTTCTCTTCTTTCAAAGCAATTTAAATATTAGTCTCCACAAAGTCAGAAAAGTATATCTGAATCCAGCTGTTATGTTCCAAAGACAAATGATATTGGGTTAACCAACAGTTGAAATTTTTGGTACTTCTGTGCCCTTTATGTACATCAGAAAATTGAGCCTTAGTTCTGTATAACTTAGAAAAAATACAGTTTCCTTGCTATTAGCTGAGACACTTATAAAAGAGATAATCAACAGGTATAAATATGCAAGCATCTTTTTGTTGTCATGCAGTCATTATGTAAGAGAGGGAATAGGTTTTCCATTGCTGGTGTATTTTGGTATTTTCAATAGTATCCACATATTTAAAAGCTCTTGGAGGTGGACATGAAATTTTTAAATTATTACTATTGATAAGAGAAGCACTGAGAATCAAAGCACAATGTAGGGATATGGGTATGACTCACATGGTGTGACTAAAATGTGAGTCAAATGCAGATGGACTGTTTTTGCATCTTTTACTTATTTACCAACTCTATTTTTGCCCCAGTTTCATAAATTTCATGGAATACAACTGAATTGTATTGTAGTGTCTAACTTATTAAATTGACTACTTGATTACTAAGTAGTTGAAGCCTAGTACCATGATGCTTGGTGGTAGTCACCACATAAAATTAGAAGCAGTGATTAACTAGCTGCCAACCAGTTTAATCAGGCCAAATAGTTAAGTTTAAAACATATATTGTTTTTTCATTAATAACAGTTCACTGAGAAGAATTTACTCTCATTTCTATGGGGACAAGAGAGAAAACTCCTTGAAAAGGCCCCAATATGATATCTGAACTTGTACGAGTTCTCTCATCTACCCCTTCTGGGAACTCACAGCCGTCTTTTCTCTGGAAGAGCATCCTAGGGAATCTTCCCCAACTTCACCTCTTGTCTTCCCTCTAAAAGTGCTAATTCCAATTTGCAAAGCTCAGTTTCTCATACCAATTACCGTATTTTTCGGACCATAAGACACTCCGGACCATAAGACGCACCAGTTTTTAGAGAAGGGAAATGAAGAAAAAAAGATTCTGAAACAAATAGTGTCCTAAAATATTTTATGTGCATTAAAACCCAACATCACAGTCATAAACACATGTAATCAACCCTGTAAAGTAAACAGCAGCATTTAGAACCATTTTAGAGCCGGGCAAGCACACACAGACCACACAGAGCCGGGCAAGTAAAAAAACTTTTTTTTTAAAGTATATGTGTAGGCTATATTTGGACCATAAGACGCAGGGACTTTTTCCCCCCACTTCTGGGGGGAAAAAAGTGCGTCTTATGGTCTGAAAAATACGGTAACTCAAGTGGTTTTTTTACATTTTTGCCTAGACCTCTCTGGAGCTAAGGCATTGGCCACACTATTTCCGTGGCTTCTGAACTTGCTCCTTTGTGGGACAGTTTTTCCATCCACCTAAATTCTAGCTCAGCCGGTCTCTTCCTACCCCTATGTGCCCGCCCAAGGTAAAGCCCCAAGCCCCTAACTTGCTGAGGAGCCAACTTCGAGCCACAAAGGAGTCCATTTCTCAGTCTCAAAGAATGAAAACCAACCAGACATTTCAGCAATTCATCGTTTTGTTAGAATGTTAGCTGAAAGCACATGCCCAAATTTCCAAAGTAATGACATGGTCACCTTGAGAGATGCTACTTCCTCTTTGATCCAGTGTAACTTGGTTCAAATCAAGGCACCTTGTCACCGCCCACCCCTCCCATTACCCCATTTCCCCAGGCGGACTCAAGCTCCTGACAGTTCTGGGATGAACAACTGCCATTCTTTCATGTATAACAAGGGATGGTGATTTTCATTAGCAGTGATTTTGGGAATCTCCCATTTTCAGGTTCATCCAACATGGTGACTGGAGAGACCAAGAGCTTCTTTAGCTTTGCAAAATCAGTAAGTACCCAAGCACCGCTAATGTACGACAGTGGTGTGGTGGTTTGCATGCTGTGAGCTCTCACATCTAAGGACATTGACCTCATAACCTAAATCTTTTTTGCTCTTCACCTACATTGTTCGTCTTCAGTGCAGCCTGAATTCCCACCTTGCTCACTACACGTGGGCGGGACTGTGACTTGGGCTGCTTTTGTGTAAACAAGTCAGCAGAGGGGGTGGGGCATGTGTATGAAACTTCAAAAGCTTTGTTTTGATTTCTATAGAGATTGCTTATGTGTTAATATTTTACATCATTGGCTGAAAAGAAACTAGTAGTGCATTTTATTTGCTTCGTGGAAACCAAATGAACTTTCTGACCAGGTTTCTGTTGGTACTTGAGATGTCTCTGAATCCTAATTTTACAAGTTGGAGATACAAATGGGATCCTTTTGAGCTAGTTTATTAGCCATTGACTTAGATAAGCATGATCTGAATACAGTGGTTACTCTGCCGCAGTGGAAAAGCCATATCCCTGGGCATTCACCCCATTGTGCTCCTACTGGGCCTACAATTCCCATCTAGAGCTACACTTGGTGACTTTCCCGGACAACAGGGGGTTGCTGCTTCTCAAAAGAGCTTGCTTTTGTCTTCTCTACTCCCAGTTCCTGTGAATTTCCCTTATTTTGTTTCCCTTACTTTGCAAGCATCTTCTGAGCACCTGCTATTTCTGGTTCTGAGCCAGACACTGGGTATAACATCGAGTGAGATAAGGGCATCTGAGGCCCTTGCGATTCTCATGAGAAAAACAACTGAAATAAGTAAAACATACCAATAACATGATTGTAAATGGTCATAAAAGCTCCGAAGAAATGAAAAGCAGGTGCTGAAATAGAAAGCAACAGGGCAAGCTAGAGACATTTTGAATAGATGGTCAGGCAAAGCTTGGTAAAGGGTTTAAACTCATTCTAAGTAGGGCTACAGAGTATTCATATGCCATTTAAGTGGCAACATTGGCTGCCAGAGGTTTCATCCCCAACATGCCCTGATTCTAGAATGGTTACTACTTCCTGCCCCATGAAATGAGAATTAAAGGGTCTCTGTTTTCATTTGAACTTTAAATTTCAGCTACAGAATAAACAGGGAGCAGGAAGAGTCTAATGGAGGATGTGTCTGGAGCATGTCCCCTGGAGACAGGCTTTGTGTCACTCACAGCTGCTTTGTTGCTTTGGCAGTAATTACCGTGATGCTGACAGCCTGCTGAGGGTAACCAAATCGGTCCCAAATTACATACAATTGTAATAAGTGTTTTCTCTTTCTTCCCAAATGCACAATCACAGCACACGATTTTAATGAAATAATTGCAGGGTACCCAGGTTTGATGAAGGCGCACACAAAAACACAGCCAGGATGCAGGTTGACATTTTCCTGCCCAAACCAAAGGAGGCAATTATCAGAACACTACTAGCTGGAGGTCAGGAATAAAGGTTTTCCTTTCAGAGGCCTGGCACAATGTCAATTGGTCAGTTAGAAGCAAACTGAAAATAGGGCATGCCAAGGAGTGGAATGATAACCTTTGTTCTGGAAGATTCTAGAAAGGATTTTTGTTCTATATATTCAGGAGAGGCTTGGAAATGAAAGCATGTTTGTAATCACACCAGAATTTTTCAATCAGCTATCTTAATTACATTCTATCTTAGAACTCACACAGAGCTTGTGCACACTCTTTGTCAAGCATGCCATTTGCTTTCAGACCATAATGATGATGCTAATAATAGGTGAACTTAGCATTGACAGAGCAGTCTGACTCCAAATTCAGAATTCCTGTTCACTCAATCAGATCCATTCCTTCCAACATTCAGTGATAATAAAGCTAGTTCATATTTATGGAGTACCTAATACTTTGTATGTATTAACACATTTACTCCTCAAGATGATCCCATGAGGAACCACAAGGAAACTACTCACAGAGAGGTTAAGTGACTTGCTTAAGGTTACACAACTAATAGGTAGAGGAACCCGGATTTGAAACCAGGCATTTGGCTCTAGCATTCAACCATAACTGTACAGCTATTGTAGAATCAGCAAGGATTCATTTCACAAATATTTATTGAGGCATTGCAGATGTAGTGAAAATCAAGTCATACAATAAATGATGTCTTTTGCTTTTTCTTGATAATTAACCCATGGAAATAAATGGCTCTCCTGGAGCTGGCCCTCAAGCCCCCGGGAATGTACTTTGGTAACGAATTTTATGCATGAACCTTATCCTTATGTAAGCTTGTCTTTCTCACACTTATTTTCCTAACAATATGATTTTTTCACTTAAAAAAATCAGACCTTTTACTTTTTTGAGCCTCTTCAATCCTGGAAAGAGGCAGAATGTAAATAAATAGAGCTATAACACAGATATTATAAATGCTCATAAGTGCCCACCACATTCCTCTTTGTCTTCCATATTAAACTGAGTGTAACCATCTCATTTCTCAGAATCCTCAGAAACTGGAAGTTGAACTTCTAAATTTAAACTGACACCAAAGGAAACACAATTAAATCAAAACAAAGCAGTTGGATAACCATTCCTGTAGTTTAATGGGTGGCTTGCTTATTTTCATGTCTGATTGGGAGATAGGCAGCCGTATTTGCCAGTTATGTGTATTCCCACAAAGGACTTTAAGCCAGGGTTTCTCACCTTTAGTGCTATTGACATTTTTGGGGTGAACAATTCCTTGTTGCAAGGTGCTGTCCTGTGCATGTAGGATGTTTAGCAACATCCCTGGCATCTATACACTGGAGGACAGTTAGATTCAGTCATCACAATAAAAATGTCCCTAAACATTACCAGTGTCCCCTCAGGGGCAAAATTGCCCATAGTTGAGGGCTACTGTCTTAGTCTCAGCACTATGTTTTATCCCTCAGTCCACTGTTCTTTCTTCCTGTATGACACTTTCTTACTCTTCCTTATCTGATGCATTTCCAATCACCCCTCCAGCCTACTCATTACTCCCCCAGGAAAGCTGCATCTGCAGTCAATGTCATCACTCCTACTTTGTCCCCCAGCACACTTTGTAAACCTTTATGCCTCCTCACTCCCTTCATCAACCCCGCCCTTCAACAACCCCTTACCACCACCACCATTCACAAAGCCAAGTGCTTTACACTGAATTCTCCCAGGGAACATCAGAGGCAATACCCTGCCACTGTATGTAGCTGAGGAAAATGAAGCATGGAGAATAACAGGGAGCAAGCTGCATAGCCAGGATTCAATTCCAGAGCTAGTAATCCTGGCCATATTCCTTCACATTCCAGCTGCACATGGCCTAGTGGCTGATTTCAAAGGGCTCTCTCCCACCTTGATTCTGGGCTCTTCTCATAAGCACCACTGTCTGTAGTTCTCCACACATTCACCAGATAGATGTTAAAAAAAAACTACAAAAACCCAACAACCTCACATGTGGAATCTTATGAACAAAATAATCTCATGAACAAAATAGATCCAGAGACATAGGAGTCTTGAGCAGACAGATGAATCTCAAGGAGAAGGTGGGGTAGTTGCGGGTGGGTGGTGAGAGATTAACCAAAGAACTTATATGCGTATGTGCATAACCCATGGACACAGACAAGAGTAACACAGACAAGAGTGTGGTGAAGACCTGGGGTGGGGTGTGTGTGGAAGGGAGTCAATGAGGAAAAAAGGGAACATCTGTAATACTTTCAACAATAAAGATAAATTAAAGAAAAAACACACACACCAACCAGATCTACCTCTTAGCTAGAACCGGACCCACTGCAGCCCCGTTTTGCTGAGAATGAGTCTTTGTAACCTGGCACCTCTCTCTTTCCAGTGGTGGCAGGTGGAGAAAGTGAACCCCATCAAGCTATATGAAGAGAACAAAGTCATCGCAGGGTTTTCCCTTTTAAATCTGCTCTTCAAACAGGGCCGCGCAGGCCTCATTCGAGGAGTGGTGGACAAACTCCTAGGGCTCTACACCCAGAAGAAGATCAAGCCCACCGTGGACTCCCTGTGGGCCCTGGAGGAGGTAAGAATGGTGTTTTCCCTCAGCAAATAGTCTCTTTTTAGTCCAGGCAGGTTTGGGCAACCAAATACTTTTTTTTTTTTTCACTAAATAATTTTTCTCCAGGTTTGTTTGTTTTAAATAATAGTCCTAAAGTCATTGTCCCACAGTATGGTGCTTTGAATATAAAAATATATATAGAGATATATATTTTAAATTCTCTAGTGGTTCTTTCTTTTTTTAATTGTATTTATTAGGTTGACATTGGTTTAAAAAATTATACATGTTTCATGTGTACAATTCTATAACATATCATTCTGTGTTGAATTTTCACCACTCCAACTCAAGTCTTCTTTCATTACCATTTATCTCTTTTTTATGCTCTCCTACTCCCCCCCACCTTTCCCTCTGGTAATCATCATACTGTTTGTGTCTATGAGGTTTTTTCTTTTTGCTTAATCTCCTCACCTTTTTCACCCAGCCTTCCAAATTCAACCCCCTCTGACAGCTGTCAATCTGTTCTCTGTATCTATGAGTCTGTTTCTATTTTGTTTGCTAGTTTATTTTGTTCATTAGATTTCATAAGTGAAATCATATGGTAGTTGTCTTTCTATGCCTGGCTTATTTTACTTAGCATAATACTCTCCAGGTCCATCCATGCTGTCACAAAAGGTAAGAGTGTTTTCCTTTTTACAGCTGAGTAGTATTCCATTGTGTAAATGTACCACATCTTTTTTATCCACTCATCAACTAATGGGCCCATTAGTTGTAACCTGGGACGACTTCTAAATTTTGCCTATTGTAAATAACACTGCAGTGAACATAGGGGTCATATACTCTTTTGAACTAGTGTTTCGGATTTAGTTGGAAATATTCCCAGAAGTGGAATCTCTGAGTCATAAGGCAGTTTCATTTTTCTGCCCAGATCTCAGCAGACCAGAACTACCAGGACTCGATAGGGTGGGGCTGCCAAGGTCTGGAGAGTGGAGATAATGGATCTCCTCTGAGAGAGAGGTGCCAGTCAGGTTCACAGGAATGTGGTGGGGATGGCCCCACCGCAAAGCCACATAACTCAATCACCAACCCTTCTGGGTGCCCTCACCTGTACACCCCTGCCCAAGCAGCTGACTCCTCAGCAGGGCACAAGCTCCAGAGGCTGGGACAAGAGGGAATCCAGAGGATGGGGTAATTGCTTTTCTGCAAGCTGATGCCCTAAGGAGGGTAGTGCTCCTCCCCCAAAAGATGGCATCTGTGGTGTGGAAGAGGGTCTCAGCATAGGGATCTTGGTGGCTGTCCCTTCAGCTCTCTCCCCAGAGCCACAAACTCTAGTCTCTTCTTACACTACTCTAGTCTGCTCTGCCCTCCCTCCACTGGAGCCCAGGATGAGTAGCTGCAAATGAAATTTTTTTGTGCACTGGCCCTTTAAAAGGGCACCTGTGTCTATAGTAGACTCTCTCTCTCTTGGGTGGACAGAATCCCTGATTTGATTTGATTTTCTCTTCTCTTCTTCTTCTTCTTTTTTTTTTTTTTTTTTTTTTTTTTTTAAGACTGTTATATACTTTTATTGCTTTCAGAGAGGAAGGGAGAGGGAGAAAGATAGAAACATCAATGTTGAGAATCATTGATTGGCAGCCTCCTGCATGCCCCCATAGGGATCGAGTCTGCAACCCGGCATGTGCCCTTGACCGGAAACGAACTCGGGACCCTACAGTCACAGGCTGACACCCTATCTACTTAGCAAAACCAGCTAAGGACCCTTGCTGGTTTTCACAGCCAGATATTATGTGTGCATCTCTTCCTCGTTCTGATTCTCTGGTCTGGGAAGCCTCACTTGGGGTTTAGACCTCACACTTCTTAGGGGGAACCCCCTGCAGCTGAGATGTCCGTCCAGAATCTTACTAGTAGCTGCTGCCTGAAGGAGTGGGGGCCAGCCCTTTTTGCGTCTCTGCTCTTCCTACTAATCTTATTGTGGCTAAAACTATTCTCCAGCTAGTCTTCAGCTGTTTACTCAGGTTGCTTGCTCTATCTATATTTTAGTGGTTAATTTTAGTTGTAATTTGAGTGTAACATCCACCTACAACACTGCCATCTTCAGTCCTCTCTTCCCCCTAGTGGTTCTTAAATCACTTGCCTCACCATACTATTTGTACCATAAACCTTTCCAGGTAAGCCACCAAATTTTAATTTATATATATGATTCATCTTATGTACAAGAGAGCATGTATTTTGTTGCAACATCATTTATATTCACCTTGTGGGTATATAAAAGACCAAGAAGATCACAGCTCAGAATTGAAATGATTTGTGTGCTAAGCCTGATGCTTGGGGCCCTTATGAGATGTTGTTAGCTGTCACAATAAGGCATTGCAATTATTGATTAAATTATTGGATCTACTGTTGGACTGTTTTCATTAATTGATCTACCCAAAGCTCCAGTATTTTAAAACCATTCCTTGATCATGAAAAAATTAAGAACCCCTAACGTTATCTTTACAGATATTGGAGTATGGCTGGTTGTTTGGGTTCAGGTGAAATGAGCTAGGAGGAGGTAAGGTCTAGAAGGTCTTTCAGGAAAAGGAAAGTTTGAGATATTTGGAGAGCCAGTTACAGCAGTTACCTGTGAGGATAAAATGGAGAAATGTGGCCTAGGTTTCCAGAGGCATTTTACTAAGAAATTTTCTTAAGTCAGGATTTCATAACCTTGGCTTCAGAGAGCAATGAAGCCACAGAGGAATGTTTTAAAATATATGGGAATATGTATGTTTTTTTGTTTATTTTTATAGTTTGCATCGGGAAGTACCTTGTAGTACATTTTTTTATACTTTTGGGAGTCATGGTCACCTTTGAAAAGTTAACAAACGCAAAACTCTGTGGTACAGAGAGTGGGTATCCTCCTGGTAAGAAGGCTGGTGCTATTTGCCTAATGGAAGAGGCCGGCCAAATCCTATGGCTTCCCTAAACACAGAATCACTCTGAAACCCTTTATAGGGATCATTGTATAATTAAATAGGACTGGTCCTGGTATGCACCACGATACCTCTCTGATCCTGCAGTATTGTGAATAGTCTTAAAACACCCAACCACCAAAACCCTTGTTTCTTATGATAAAAGACACACATGCTTGTTGTAGAAAACTCCTAAATTAGCCAAAAGCATTAGGAGAAAATGAAATAACTTCAAGTCAAGAAATGGATAACATTATTAACATTAGGTTTGCTTCCTTCCTGTCTTTTTTCTATTACAGATGCTCACTATGATTAATTTTATTGCTAAATCAAATCAGATAATTGTTCATTCCTTCTGCTGTGTAATTTCCAAGATTGTTAGCCTATCATTGTGTTTTTCTTGAAAACATATTTATTTCAATCCATATGGTATTCATTATGATATCTTAATGCTATAGAGTACAGCTGGATGAAACCATTACCAGATTCTCAGTGGTCAGGAATGAGAGAAAACTAGAAATAGTGAAGACCAGAGATAAGAGATTAACTTGACCATGGGACAAAAAAGGTGGCTTAAACTTAGACCCAGTGTCCAAAAGAGACCCAACAAAACTGGTAGCATTTAAGCAGAGGTTGAAATCTGAGAGGATTCCTATTGGCCCAATGATTCCTTTTCTGATACTTGAAATCAATACTGGTCATAATGGTAACTGATTATCAAATATGTATTGAATAACTACTACGTGCCCTATATTTATTTATCTACTTCTCTACTTATCTATCTATCTATCTATCTATCTATCTATCTATCTATCTATGTCCTATATGTACATCTGTGCTTTATACTTTAAAAGAATAAGATTTGAACCAATTTTTTACCCCTTTGGGGATGGGGTCACTCCCACTGAGAATGTATGCTGTAGAATGACTTTAGAGAAGAAAGATTAGATGTCTTAGGATATGAAAGAGGCAAAAAAAAACAAAACAAAACAAAAAAAAAACAAACAAACAACAAAAAAACAGAAGAGCATGCAAGGCAGAGGGACAAAGAAAGAAAGATCATGATGGATTCCAGGGAACAGTTTCATGTATTGATGTGACCAAAGGAAGGAATGGCTTAAGGAGAGCCTGGATGAATAGGGCATCAGGGGCCACAGGGAAATCTAGATCTTACTCTAAGCCCCATGGGAGGCCACTAAATGACAGGGTTAGGAGGTGTTACAACATGATCCCAAGGGAAGAAGTAAAAATTATTAGGCTCCAACTGCAGAAGTCTGATGATATTCAAAGGAGATCTCAATTCAGCTCAGAAGTGGGAAGGGGGCACCAGACTAAACTCAGCTCTCATTAAGGTAGGTAAGGCAGCTAGGGGAATGTGCAGCTCCATGCATGCTGGAGCTAGGTCAGGATTGGCTCAAGAGCTGGGTTGACCAAGGATGCAGAGCAAAGCTTCTCAGGACCCACACCAAATAGAGATGGGAAAGCTGAGGTTGATAGCTGACTGAATAATGGATCACATAACTCCAGGACTTTACTGCAAGTGCTTCCAAATTCATGCACTTCCTTTCATCTTCACTGATGGCCCCCCATGTAGCCTAAGCTGGACTAATCTTATAAGGAACTCCTGATCAGTCCCACCCCCACACTTCCATCTTGCCCCTGTATAGGGCATTCTGTACCCAGCAACATCAGTGAACTTATCACTACCTAAGTTAGATCATGTCCATCCTGCTTTAAAATCCTCCATGGCTTCCCATGGCACCTGGAATCCAGGTCTGTACAGCCCTAACTGTCTAAAATCCAGATCTCTCATCAACTTCATACTGTCCACCTTGCCTCCTACATCCAATCTTCAGTGGCTTTTATGTTCCTGGTGCTTGAGCCCACTCAAGCCTTTCTGCCTTGCACTGTTGAACCTGTTACTTCCTTTCTTTTGAACATTCCTCCCCCAGATTTTCAGAGCTTCCTTCCCATCATTATGTTTCAGCTTCAGTGAGACCTACCTAGTGAGGCTTTCCCAAACCGCCCTCCTGAAAGCAGCATCCCGCACAGCCAACCCTGCCTGGGTCATCCTCTCTC